GACCATTTTCTACGAAGTAGGAGTGTTTTGGAGCCATCGCAGAACTTCTTAAACCGCGAGTTTTTATTTAAAGTCCCTCCGGTGCTCAATCATGCCGAGGATGAAAGGTCCGAATCGGCACGAGCTACTGGTTGTAATTTTTACAAGAAAAATTATTGACGAGCACATGAGTTTATTCCAAAAAAGGATTATTCCTTTTTTTGGAATGGCTCATGAAACTGTATATTTCATTGTATGTATGTTTTATTAGTTTAGGATAGGTCTTCTTGTCTCAAACGGTTAAATTCACTTTAATTAACAGTGCAAATTAATGAATGCACTTTGATTTTTTATTGCGTGTTTGATTCGCGTTTTAGTAGTGGTGAAATCGAGTATTAATTTACTCGATTTCGTACCAATGAAGCATGTAATAAATGTCTTACATGCATTGCTTCGTACTTAGTTTATTTAATCGCGATTAATTTCGATATTATTAATAAATGAGCAAGAAGACAAACCCCTTTCGCGAACGGATAGATTCTGGCAATTAAGTGGCGGCTATAAAAAGCCCAGTTCTTTAATTAGAACAGCCAACTTAATCAAAAGAGTCGTCCGAGGTTTTTTAATTATTTTCAATTTTTAATATCTTTTTTTTTTTGAAAGTCTTAAAGACTTGTAGAGTCATAGCCCGCTTAGATTTATTTGAGAATATTTATTTTATTGTGTTAATCAATTTTTAGATTAGGATTTTCAGCAACTAATATACTAATACCCCCTTTTCTCCCCCCTATGCACGCTTCGTTCTCATCTATGCGTGTTACCCAGGTGTTACACGTATGGGTGAGAAAAAGATTGCATGGGTTATTAGTTTTTAAGTTTTCCTTTGGCGGCTGTTATTGTGCTAGTGATTGCACGGTGTACATTGCACCTGTGTGTGCGTAGTAGGTGGTGCATTGTACATCGTTCGGGATACGTGTAATACCGCGTATTTTTGAAAAAGTTATTCAAATAAAAATAACTTGTAAAGTCACGCGTGCGTACGAATTTTCTTTTTTTTTTTAATAATCGTTTTGCATAGTAGAGTCACCCACATTTATTTGTGGAAACATACACGTATATAACTAGTATGCACATATACTAGTGTATACTTGTATTTTTGCAGTAGTTTTATTTGCAATAATCACTAGCCTTGACAGACGATTACAGCAACTGGTACGTAACCTTTTAGAAATTAAGTTTAGAAATACGCGGTTGAACTAGGGTGACGGAGGTGCCCCGGGGCATGCTCTCTAGTGTAGGCTTTTGCACCCTGGTGG